ACAGGGGCTTGTCCCAAGTAGTAAAGCACCACCCTAGCAAATGGACGGGCGGCTCTGAGTTCAAACACCAGGACCACTAAAAAAAAAGAGAAAAAAAGTGTGAAGAGGTACAAGGCAGGGCCCTGTGTGCATGTGTGCACACACGTGCCGGTTCTGGGGCTTGAACTCAGGGCCTGGCCTCTGTCTCTGAGCTTTTTGCTCAAGGCTGGTGCTCTACCACTTGAGCCACAGCGCCACTGCCGGCTTTTTGGTGGTTCCTTGGAAATAAGAGTCTCATGGGGCTTTCCTGCTCAGGCTGGCTTTGAACCACGATCCTCTACTGTCAGCCACCTGAGTGGCGGGGATGACAGGCGTGAGCCATAGTGCCCAGCTGTGGCTCTGGGCCAGGTTTCTGCTGATGGACGCATTCAGACGCCTCCTCCACAAACAAGGAAACTGAGGCACAGGGGGAGACGGAGGAGGATCCAAGGCCATGCGTAGTCAGCTTGGACTCGGCCATCTGTCTCTTTCTACAGTGGCTTCACCGATGTCAACTCACAGAACTTAACACACACACACACACACACACACACACACACAACCCCAAAACACTGGCTTGCTGCTGGGGGGCCTGGAGACCAGGCAGCTGGCAGACGCAGGAACGTGCCCCCTCTGGTGGCCGGCCACGGAACTGCAGTAAGTCACCCATGGCAAAAACCCCACTAATATAATGCTCTCTTCAACCTCCTTCATTCTGACATGATCTCAGACCTAGAGAACAGCCACAAGACTGACAGACTCAGGATTCATTGCTACCATTCTGTCCCTTCTTCCTCTCCCAGGGCAGAATCATTCGAGCTAGCAAGCCGGGCACAGTGGCTCCCGCCTCTCATCCCAGCTAGTCCAGACGTGGTGATCTGAGGATCGCAGTTCAAAGCCAGCCTGGGCAGGGAAGTCCCTGAGACGCTTCTTTCCAAGGAGCCACCAAAAAGCTGGAAGTGGAGCTGTGGGCTCAAGCGGATGAGCGCCAGCCTTGAGTGGAAAGAAAAAAATAAAGCTCAAGGACAGAGCCCAGGCCCTGAGTTCGAGCCCCAGGCCTGGCCAGAAGGAATGAATGAGTACAAGCAGCCAGTACAAAACAAACGTGTCTGATGGTGAAGTTAAGCTTTCGATTCCAAGCTCGGCCTCTTCTCCCCATCCCCCGGGTGTCCTCACGGTCACCTGGTTTAGGGGAGATGTCCCTGAGGCCCAGGCTTCTCTGGGGACCCCGGCCCTGCGCCCCTCAGGCTGCTTGGTCCTGGCCTGGCCTCCCAACAGCTCAGCACCGCCCTCTGGTGGTGAGAACTGGCGGTGTGTGGCTGGAGGGCACAAGAAAGGGAGCAAGCATCAAACTCCTCATTCAAGACTGGGGGATGTTGGGGCCTGCACCCCTCCCCCCCCCACACCCCACAATTCTGATGTCACTGGTTGATGTCTCACCCCAGGTGAGCCGGGTGCTGGTGGCTGACACCCATCATCCCAGCTACTCAGGAGGCTGAGCTCTGAGGATCGTGGTTCGAAGCCAGGCTAGGCAGGAAAGTGGGTGAGATTCGTATCCCACCAAAAAGAGGTAAGTAGAGGAGTGGTTCAAGTGGTAGAGCACCAGCCTTGAACAAAAGAAGCTCAGGGACAGGGCCTGGGCCCTGGGTTCAAGTCCTAGGACTGGCATTAAAAACAAAAAAAGAAGATGAAAGAAAAATACAAACTGGGCTCTTTCCTAGATTTCCCCCCAGGCTTCTATTTGTCTGGTCACCCCAGAGCTGAACCCCACATCTCGCTCCAGGATCATCCTTTGCTTCACGGCTGGTAGGGGTAGCAGATGCTGGCTGCAGGTCTTGGTCATTAGAGAGACGTCTTTCCCAGGGTGAATTCCTCCACGCTGGCACCCTGGGAGACACATCGGGGACCCCCTCCCCCTCACGGAGTTTCTCCTGAGCTTATTTTCCATCTCCAGATCCAGTGGGGACCAGTAATTTTTTTTAAAAAAGGCCATTTTTCTCTCCCCATCCTTTTCCATGTGCAAACCTTAAGGGATCATCTCATAACGGTGTGCAAATCTTAAGGGATCATCTCATCATTACCTCCGCAGCTACACTGAGTATTTGTTGGCTTTGTTTACAAACAACTGGACCCGATTGGAGAGAGGTCCTGGGAGAAAGCCTGTCCCTGGGGGTGGGGTCCCCAGTCCTGGAGGGGGAGCTGGGTCTGGGTCACACCTGCCCTGGATGGATGAGGGAAAACAGGAAGGAAGGGGGTAGGAAGGAGCCAAGGAGACAAGATGGATGGAATTTCCAGAGGGGTTGGGGTTGCGGCTCAGTGAATAGAGCGCTAGCCGATGAGCAAAAGCATCAGGTACTGAGTTCAAATCCTGGTCTTGGACCAAAAAACAAGCACAGGCATTGCAGAAGAAGGAATTGGGCTTGGAGATGATCCACGCGCTCTCAGCTCCCAGGATCCTTAGGGAGACAGCTTTGGCCCTACGGGATGGAATCTTCCAGTCAAGCTGCCTGGGAAACGGAATTCAAAATGGCCACAAGGTGACGCCCGCTGGCCTGCCTGCTCCTGACGTCCCAGGGGCCACACGGTCTAGCACTGGGCTTTCCTGCCTTCCAATGTCCCTTGTCCTGCCCACAAAGGAGGCTGCATTTCAAAAGCTGGGCACAAAGCCAGGTGTGGTGGCGCACGCATGTAATCCCAGCTACTCAGGAGGCTGAGATTGGTGGATCTTGGTTCAAAAGCCAGCCTGGGCAGGAAAGTCCTGTGAGACTTTTACTCCCAACGAATCAGCAGAATGCGGGAAGTGAGCTTTGAGGAGACAAAATAACTCCAGGACAGCGCCCAGGCCCCGAGTTCAAGCCCCAGGACCAGTGCACGTGCGCACACAGACACACCACACAGAGCCAGGCACAAAACTACACACATTAGAGTTGGATGGTGTCCTGGGACACCATCGGGGGAATCCACGCGGGTGCAAAGACATGGTGACACTCTTAAGGGCCCACGCATGCTCCTGGGCATATATCACCCAGGGACTCTGCCAGGCAGGCAGAGACGGCTGGTCCCGTGTCTCTAGCAGACAATTCATGTAGATGTTTACCTAGCTCACACAAAGAGGGCGGCTCACTGGAGATGAGATTCACTGACCTTCCTGCCTGGGCTGGCTTTGAATTTGAATCCATGGATCTCAGCCTCCTGGGTAGTTGGGATTACAGGCGTGAGCATTGGTGCCTGGACCTAGTCTTCTTCGTGGCGATACAGTAATATTATGTTGCCGTGAAGTGTATAGCTTTGTTCTAAATGTTTATATACTAATACACAAATAATATGTATATGTATATATCAAACTGTAGCAGATTTTTCCAAGGCAAAATCTCTGTATATCAGCCTTCATCCAGAGGGTGATTTTGTAGATATTATGTGAAAACCATACACCTGATTTTCTTAGCCACAAATTTCTAATTTTGGCAATTTTATAAAATATAATTTTATAAATTTTTTAAAAATATAACTTTCATAAGTTTCTGAGTATTCAAATTGGGTATGACTTTCCCCAAGTTCTCTTACACAGGAAGAAGTCATTGTCCATATTCAAAGACCTCCGTGTTTGTTGCAAGAAAAAAAGATTGCATTCATAGTCCCTAAATTTGTTTAAATGTGCTGAGACTCCATCTGTAAAAAAAAAATCATTTATGATCATTTCACTAGACACGTACCAAGAAAAAAAAAACTGACATGGTTCAATCAAAGCACATTATTAGGAAAGAAAATTAAAAAGAAAAAAAAACCCTCAAAAATCTGTTAGAAACTACTGGAATAATGGAGCTTCTTAGCAAGAGTATAGGATGAAAAGTCAACACAAAAATCAGTTTATTTTCCATTTATTATTGAGAAGTTGTACAAAGGGGTTACATAAAAGTGATTAAATACAACATAAAAGACACTTTCATTTATAATAATAGTATCAAGCTGGGCGCTGGTGGCTCACGCCTGTCATCCTAGCTACTCAGGAGGCTGAGATCTGAGGATCATGGTTCGAAGCCAGCCCGGGCAGGAAAGTCTTGTGAGACTCTGATCTCCAATAAACCACCAGAAAACCGGAAGTGGCGCTGTGGCTCAAGTGGTAGAGCACCAGCCTTCAGCTGAGGGACAGAGGCCAGGCCCTGAGTTCCAGCCCCAGGTCTGGCATTAAAAGCCGAAGACCTGCCAAACAAAGGTCACCCGGTGAAACCCTGGGTTCCTCTGAGATCCAGGCGCCCTCTCTCCTCTCTCCACCTGCTCCTCCTCACGCCCAGGGGAGGCTGACGGACCCAGCTCCTGCTCCTCTCCCTTCCCACTGCCCCGGCTCATCCAGGCTCCGGGCTTTTCCCTCTCCCTTCCCACTGCCCCGGCTCATCCAGGCTCCGGGCTTGCCCTCTCCCCAGCCTCCTCCGGCCCCTGCACGGCCACTCTGGTGGGACCCTTGTCCTTGTCGGAGGCCCCGCCCCGTGGATGCTCCCACAGGCCAGCAGCACTCTTGCCCTTGTCCACGTTCAGCCCAAGTCTCACACTCGATCTTCCTGGGCCAAGTAGGCACAAATGGAGGGGTCAGCGACCACGTAGCCCGGCTGTGGCCCCATGGCCAATCAAACGAGGAAGGTTCTAGATAAAACCCCCCTCTCAGGAAGGACAGGCCAAGGTGGAAGAACCCCACGCGGTCTTAGGAGCCTGTCCATGTCTCCACCCAGCGTCTGAACCCAGCCTCTCAGAGTGGAGGCTGAGCTCTGAGGATCCAAGATTGAGGCCAGCTTGGGGGAGAGAGAAACGCACGTCTCGTGGAACGCTCATCTCCAGTGAGCCACCAAAAAGCTGGAAGTGGCGCTGTGGCTCAAGTGGTAGAGCGCCAGCCTCGAGGGAAACAGTGAAGGGACAGACACCAGGCCGTGAGTTCGAGCCCCAGGTCCGGCACATTTGCACACACAAATACACACACACAACAGGCCAACTGCAGCCTCACAGAAAGGACAATGAAGGGTTTTATTATTATAAAATGTCATGAACACACACAACACGTGTGCACACACACGTGCACAGGGCGGGCAGGACGGCACCTCACAACGGGGCGTCCTCTATCACTCTGCCACCCGACAAGGGAGGGGAACCCCTGGAGCAGAGGGCCCCAACAGCACCCCAAAACAGCCTGAAGTCCTTCCCGGGGTGCGGGTTCTGTCTCCCACAGGTCCTGAGGACCACACGCACGCTCCGTCCGCGTGTCAAGGTCAAGTATAGCAAGGCCGCTGCTGTAGTGGCTGCGACTCTGTAGTGTCTGCGCGGCGAATGGACCCAGGCCCCGCCCTGCGGTCCAGGTCCAGGCCCCACCCACACCAGGGGTCACCCTGGCTGACCACAGGTGGCTTGCGGGAGAGCCAGGGAATCCACTCTTCACCATGAATAAATAGAGCTTTCCAGCACACTCTAAAAACAGAAGATAATCACATCACTACATATAAACATGTACATATGTGTGCGTATATACACACATGTATATATATATATATATATATGTACGTATGCATATCATTTTTCCCCCCTCTTCTGTTGGTGCCAGTCCTGGGGCTCGAACTCAGGGCCTGGGCGCTGTCCCTGAGCTTGCTCGCTCAAGGCTGGCCCTCCACCACTTGAGCCACAGCGCCACTTCTGGCTCCTGGATGATTTATGGCAGATAAAAGTCTCTGGGACTTTCCTGCCTGGGCTGGTTTTGAACGGAGATCCTCAGTGCTCAGCTTCCTGAGTAGCTGGGGTTACAGGCGTGAGCTACTGGCACTGGCTGGCAAACTCTGAACACACGGGAAGTCGTGGTCTCCAGTTACAGGAGACCTCTCTGGGGGGGGCGAGGGGGGACGGCAGGAGCTGGGGCGGGGGCAGGCACGGGACCTTAGGAAGCGTCCTGGGATGGAGCGGGAGGGTCCTGGCTCTCTGGCTCGGGGGGTGGCGCGGGCACAGCCTCTTTCCTCTGGGCGGCCAGGAACTCGTGAATAGCTCGCTCTATCTGCGGCCTGAAGATGTGGTTGAGTTTTGGATCCACCACCTGGGAGATTATCCGGTCCACTCCGGCTTCCAACATGCCCGACCTCGGGGAGACAAGAGAGATCACCATTATCGAGGTGTCACCCACATCTGGGACTCGAACTCAGGGCCTGGCCGCTGTCTTTGAGGGGTTCCACTCTAGGCGAGCGCTCTACCGCTTGCGCCACAGCGCCACGTCCGGTTTTCTGGTGGTTCACTGGAGAGCAGAGTTGCGTGGATCTCCTGCCTCGGCTGGCCTTGAATCGCGATCCTCAGATCTCAGCCTCCCGAGTGGCCAGGACGACAGGCCTGAGCCACGGGCACCTGCCTGGAGCTCCTTTTTGGTATTCTTACGAGCACAGACTGGCGACTGATGCTCTTTGCTGGCTGCTGGGCGGGGACTAAAGAAGCCTCTGCTCAGAGACCGAGCCCAGGCCTGAGCTCAAGCCCCAGGACCAGCCAAAACAAAACAAAAAAAAGGCCCCAACTTCCTCTGTGTGCTTTGATCTGCTCTCTCTCGGCTGCTGTCCGCTTTGCACACGCCACGGGCTCCAGGACGCCCCGGGCTCAGAAGGCAGCCATCTTGCGGGCGGCACGGGGGCCGCTTCTTCGGATCGCGTTGCACCGCACACCCCACACTCAGGACGCCCCGCGCTCCGGGTCTAAGGATCACCCAGAGCCCCGCAGGGACGGAGCCGGGCGCACCGCGGCCCGGCCCGCTCGGCCCCGCCGACCTCCCCACCCCGGCCCAGGTCCTCCTCCTGCACTGGGGCCAACGTCTGCGCCCCGAAGCCGCCGGAGACCGCCTGCAACACACAGCAGGCAACGTGGAGGCCGGCTAGCTCGCTCTACGCTCACGATCCTTCAACTCGGCCCGATTGACCCCGTGCGTGCCCTAACACAGGGCACAGGCGCGCATGCGCGCGCGCACTCGGCGAGTGACGCCGTGACAGCCAGCCCTAACACAGGGCACAGGCGCGCATGCGCACACGCTCGGCGGGTGACGCCGTGACAGCCAGCCCTCGCCGGGCACAGGCACGCATGCGCACACACACACACGCCGTGACAGCCAGCCCTCGCCGGGCACAGGCGCGCATGCGCACACACACACGCCGTGACAGCCAGCCCTCGCCGGGCACAGGCACGCATGCGCACACACACACACGCCGTGACAGCCAGCCCTCGCCGGACACAGGCGCGCATGCGCACACACACACACGCCGTGACAGCCAGCCCTCGCCGGGCACAGGCGCGCATGCGCACACACACACGCCGTGACAGCCAGCCCTCGCCGGGCACAGGCGCGCATGCGCGCACACACACGCCGTGACAGCCAGCCCTCGCCGGGCCGGCGGCTCTGCCACTGCTTCTGGGATTGCAGAAGAGCGCGCGCATGCGCACCACCACCGCCTGCACACCCGCCGGCCGACCGTGCCTGGCCAGGGGACGGCCGGGGACAAGGCCACCAGCCCCTGGGCCACAGCCAAGATCCAGTGACACCACGCACCCACGTTCGGAGGCAGATTCACGTACCCCTCTTCTGGATACTGTTCCCCGAAGATCCTTTTTTTTTGGGGGGGGTTCGAGTGGTGGGGTTTGAACTCCCAGCCTGGGCTTTCATTTTCACCCAGGGCCGGTGCTCTACCACCCGAGTCACTCCTCCACTGCCGGCTTTTGGATGATTAATTCCTGCCCGGGCTGGCTTCGAACCGTGATCCTCAGATCTCAGCCTCCTGAGTAGCCGGGGTGACAGCGGGAGCCAGCAGCCACGGTTCTCAGGCGCTGTTAGGCTCCAGGTGAACAGACGTCAGCCATGAGGCCATTTGGTTCTGGGCTGGACTTCGTTCCTTCCTTCTCTGGCTGGGCCTCGCGCGCTCGGGGCCGGGGCGCCGTCCTCTCGCCTTTGTGCTCAAGGCTGGCGCTTTACCACTGGAGCCACAGCTCCACTTCTGGGTTCTTGGTGGTTAACTGGAGCTAAGTCTCGCCGACTTTCCTGCCCCAGCTGGCTTTGAACTGCCTCCTCCTGTCTCGGCTTCCTGAGTAGCTAGGATGACAAGCGTGAACCACCAGCAGCCGGCTACTTTTGAGCCACAATTCTATTTCTGATTTTTTCCTCCCCTTTGGTGGTTCATTGGAGACAAGAGTCTCACAGACTTTCTTGCCTAGGCTGGCTCTGAAGGGCGATCCTCAGTTCTCAGCTTCCTGAGCAGCTGAGGCAGACGGGCCTGGGCTCCAAGGACCTCTTTTGTTTTTGTTGGTCGTGGGGCTCGAACTCTGGGCCTGGGCGCTGAGCTCTTCGGCTCAAGGTGAGTGCTCTACCACTTGAGCCACAGCGCCACTTCTGGTTTTTCTGGTGGTTCATTAGAGTTAGGAGTCTCAGGAACTTTCCTGCCCGGGCTGGTTTTGAACCCTGATCCTCAGATCTCAGCCTCCTGAATAGCTAGGATGACAGGCGTGTGTCATCGGCGCCCGGCTCAAGGCCCACTTCTTAAAGGTGCAAACACCACATCTGCACAAGGGGTCTAGCACATGTACTGTTGTGGGGAGCAGGTGCCTCACAACTTTAGCGTATGAACTATTCCAGGGGGCCCTGACAGGACAGAGTGAACTGGGGGCCCCCATCCCCTCCCCCACCCATGCGCACTGAATGAATTAGGTGGCCCCTCTCTCTGTAATACTGTAATACTCTCTTGCTTGACCAAACTCCCTGATGTCTTCAGAGCATCTCAGGCTTCTGGAGACTTTACTGGGTCACAAGAAGCAAAAGGCGCACGTACTGGCGGCTCACGCCTGTCATCCTAGTGACTGAGGTCTGAGGATCCTAGCTCAGAGCCAGTCAGCCCAGGAAAGTCCATGAGATTCTTGTCTCTTGATTAACCAGCAAAAAGACAGAAATGGAGCTGTGGCACAAGTGGTAGGGCACTGTAAAAGTGAAGAAGGGGGGACGGGAAGGTGGCTCAGTGGTAGAGCACTTGCCTTGCATGCCTGAGGCCCTGGGTTCGATTCCTCAGCACCACATAAGCAGAAAAGGCTGGAAGTGGCGCTGTGGCTCAAGTGATAGAGCGCTAGCCTTGAGCTGAAGAGCTGAGGGACAGCGCCCAGGCCCAGAGTTCAGGCCCCAGGACCCCCCCCCCCCAGCTACAACAGAGGTGGCCACGGTGGACCAAACACTTTCCTGACCACACGTCCCCCTTGACCAACACAGATCCCTCGCTTTTTGCCCACGATCCCTAAGCATTAACCCCGTTCCCTCAGAGCAGAAGTCCCACGCATGCTCAGAGGACGCCACACATCCAGGGGGCCAACAGGGAGCAACGTCTCATGATCTGGAAGGTTCCAGGGCACCTGGAACCCGCGCGGGCCCCGCAGAAGCCTGGCCACAGCTGCCTGACGGAGGACGCCGTCGCCCGGCCGGGCAGGGCGCAGCCAGGGCGGCGGGGACCGGGCTTGGCCCGCGGCCTCTGCCCTGGGGAAGGCTGCCCGCGCCCGCCCGCGCCTGCGCACTCACTGCAGCACGCTCTGCTGCCCGCGCCTGCGCACTCACTGCAGCACGCTCTGCTGCCCGCGCCTGCGCACTCACTGCAGCACGCTCTGCTGCCCGCGCCTGCGCACTCACTGCAGCACGCTCTGCCGCCTGCTCCCGCCCGCACCTGCGCACTCACTGCACCACGCTCTGCCGCCCGCTCCCGCCCGCCCGCGCCTGCGCACTCACTGCACCACGCTCTGCCGCCCGCTCCCGCCCGCGCCTGCGCACTCACTGCACCACACTCTGCCGCCCGCTCCCGCCCGCGCCTGTGCACTCACTGCACCACACTCTGCCGCCCGCTCCAGCCCGCCCGCGCCTGCGCACTCACTGCACCACGCTCTGCCGCCCGCTCCCGCGCCCGCCCGCGCCTGCGCACTCACTGCACCACGCTCTGCCGCCCGCGCCTGCGCACTCACTGCAGCACGCTCTGCCGCCTGCTCCCGCCCGCGCCTGTGCACTCACTGCACCACGCTCTGCCGCCCGCTCCCGCCCGCGCCTGCGCACTCACTGCACCACGCTCTGCCGCCCGCTCCCGCCCGCGCCTGCGCACTCACTGCACCACACTCTGCCGCCCGCTCCCGCCCGCGCCTGTGCACTCACTGCACCACACTCTGCCGCCCGCTCCCGCCCGCGCCTGTGCACTCACTGCAGCACGCTCTGCCGCCCGCTCCCGCGCACTCACTGCACCACACTGCCGCCCGCTCCAGCCCGCCCGCGCCTGCGCACTCACTGCACCACGCTCTGCCGCAGGCCGTTGCGCAGCTGGTTCTTGTTCATCGTGGGGTTCCACTCCTGCTTGTCCAGATGCGTCGACACGAAGTTATCCACTTTCTGCCGCAGGTTCTGGTAGGCCGGCTGGGAGTGACCACAAAAGGGAGACGGTCACCCGAGATGCCGCGGAAGGGCGCGCCTCTCCCACCTGCGCATGCGCGCCCGCAGCCTTCAATGGACGCCCGCCGCGAGGGCCGCCGCGCGACTCGGATGATCCCAGCCACTCCACTTCAGGCCTGAGACTCCGGGGGCTTCCAGGGAGTCACCCGATCTGACCGGCACCTGCTCCCACCCGGATAGCCAGCCCGATCCCCCCAGCAAGGGGGGACCAAAATAAAAACGACCGAGGCCCCTGGCGAGCGCCGGGAGAAAGTGGCTGGGCCCCCCAGGACCTCCAGCAGGGGAGGCGGCGCCTGCCGCCCGAGCCTCCGACCGGGAGGCTGGGAGCCGAGGATCGCAGCGCGAGGCCAGCCCGGGAAGGCGAGCCGGCGAGGCCTACCCCAAAGAAGCCGGGAGCGAAACGGCGGCGGCTGGGGTGCGGCGCCGGCCCTGCGAGCAGAAAGCTCGCGGCCCAGGGCCAGCAAGCACCTTCTCCCCAGGGCGGTGCGCTGCGCGTCTGGGAGCAGCGGCGGCAGCAATCGGCGCGGGAGGAGGCCGCCGGGCCGGAGGATCGCCGCGGGAGGCCGGGCTCGTCCCGGGGACACGGGCCGGGCAAGGCGGAGGGGAGGCCGGCGCCCGCCTGCTTCCTGTGGTGGGATCTGTACCCCACGCCAGGGCAGGCCAGGGGAGCGGCGGAGGCAGAGGACCTCCCCGGCCGGTGCACAGGACGGACGGACGCGCGACACGACACACCTGACCCCCTCCCCCGTGGGGTGCGCATGCGCAGAACCGGCGCTTCGGCCCCTTCCCAGGCGACGGCGGGTGCGGGTGCTGTGAAGGAGGCATGAAGCCCTCCCCCCCACTTTGGACCCGTGCCCTCTGACCTGAGCTTTGCACACGCCGCGGGCTGCGGGTGGACCAGGCTCGGAAGGCAGCCATCTTGTGCGCAGGCGCGCGACCCGCACACAGCGCCTTCACGGCGCCCCCAAGCCCAGGACACCCCCGTCCCCGTCCCCGTCCTCCCGGAATCAAAGCCCCAGCATTACCCAGAATCCCTGCGGGGACGGCCGGGGTGCCCCCCCCCCCCCCGCCTCGGGGACCCCTCACCCGGCCCCGATCGAGCCCGAGGCCAAGGGCCGCACCGGAGCGGCGGGGACGCGCCCGGCCCCCGGGGAAACGTCTCCTCTGCCCTTCACCATGGCGATGTATTGGGGGGGGCTCCCTAACTTGGGGTTCCTGGACTTCTGGGTCTGAGCTCCAACAGCTTTCTAGATGCTTCCACCTAGGCCTTCTTTTTATGGGTGGCTGTTTGTGACCCTCCCATCTAGGCTTGGGGAGGTCACATCTGTTGTGGAGCATGAAGCCGGGCCCGGTGGCTCGCGCCTGTCAGCCATCAGGAGGCGGCGAGCCGAGGTTCTCAGCGCAAAGCCAGCCAGGGAGGGAAACGTCGGTGGAGCTCATCATCTGCCATGAACTACCAAAAAGCTGGAAGCAGGGGTGCGGCTCCAGCGGCGGAGGGCCAGCCTTGCGCGGAAAAAGCTCAGGACAGTGCCCAGGCCCCGAGTTCGCGCCCCCGGGCCGGCACAAGCCTGTGCCTGCTCCCCAGGGGGGCAGGGAGGTGGGGGGCCGCACAGCCCCGTCCCCTGTCCGCACAGCCCGGCATTTCGCAGCGCAGCCGCTGCCCAGCGCACACACCAGGTCTTTGGGAAGATCTGACTTTAAGCTCACAGTTTTGCTACTGACCATGGAGGTCAGCCATGGACCATGGGGACCCGCAAAAGGAACCTACACGGAGGCTGGGAAGGTGGCTCAGTGGTAGAGCGCTTGCCTTGCATGCGTGAGGCCCTGGGTTCGAATCCTCAGCACCACATGTGCACAAAAAGCCGGAAGTGGCGCTGTGGCTCAAGTGGTAGAGCGCCAGCCTTGAGCTGAAGAGCTGAGGGATAGCGCCCAGGCCCAGAGTTCAAGCCCCATGACTGACAAAAAAAAACAAAACAAAAATTTTTAAAAAATAATAAAAAAGGAACCTATGCGGGAGGATGCTCCGAGGTCTCCAGTCCTAGAAGGGAAACACGGGAAGCAGCAGATAGACCACGGCCAGGACGAGGGGAGGCAAGGAGGAACCGTCAGTGAAGGCCGGAGCTGCCCAGCGAGGCCACAGGAGGACGTTTTGCAGCCCCCCCCCCCCTTCACTACAACTAGAGCCTGGCACAGATCTGTAACGCTAACGATGACCTGCACCCTGGGGTCAGGTAGACCTCTTGTTTCTGGGGAAGTCTATAAATCTCGCGGAAGGAAGCAGAGCTTGCTACAGTAACAATGTAAGAAGGAGTCTTTCCATGCAGGTCAAAAGAGGTAAAAGAATACGTTGTAATTACCAGGCATGTTACTTGTGATCAACTAGCCAAGGTAGGGAGAAAAGCCGTTCATCAAAGGAACTGTCAGCCTAGCTACTCGGGAAGCTGAGATCTGAGGATCGCAGCTCAAAGCCAGCCCAGGAAAGAAAAGGCCGTGAGACTCTGATCTCCAATGAACCACCAGAAAACCAGAAGCGGCGCTGTGGCTCAAGTGGTAGAGCGCCAACCCTGAGCTGAAGAGCTGAGGGACAGCGCCAGGCCCAGAGTTCAAGCCCCACGACAAAAAAAAAAAAGAGTAAGATTGCAACTACCAAGTGTGCGGCTTGTTAGGAGAAATCTGTTCTCAATGGAGTTAAAAGCCAGGAGACCCCTCTTTTGAGCGGGAGCCACCCACAGAACTACCAATCTCCGCCAGCTTCTGCCAGCCACGCTGGTCCCAGCCAGCTTAGAAATCAAGTTGAACAATGGCTCCCTTTCTAATCCTGGCAATCAACTGTACTTAGAATGTGAGCCTAATCCCTTTCTTTTTTTACCTTGTTTTACTTACTTGTGTGTACGTGGTACTGAGGAAGCAAAGGCCTCTGGAGCGTTGCATAAGCGCTACCCACCCAGCCGCCTTCCCAGCCCACAGCCCCCCCTTGACAGAGAAGAGGGGCATTTTACACCAGGAGAGAAACCTAGCAAACTGCAGGCCCGCATCTAGGGAGATGGCGGCGTCTCCAGTGCATCTTATTCTTTCCCCGCTGGGGAGTCTTCCATTTCTAACAACAAAGTGCAATCTCATCTTTGCAGCCCATCGCTTTTCTGTGTTGCTGAGCTGGGAACTGAACCCTGGGTCTCCAGGCGCCAGGCAACTTGAGCTCTAGCCTAGGGCCCTCCGGTTGTTTTCTTCTTTTTTCTTCCCCCAGGTGAGATCTACCTCAGTCCCAGCTGGCTTCCCAGTTTCTGATCCAGAGTAGCTGCGTCGCTGGGCCTGGCTTGCTGGCACTTAGAAAGTTTCGAGAAGGGAGGAAGTGGAAGGCTCCAGCCATCCGCATCAGTACTTCATTAAATCCCAACGACTCCGCTAATGACACGGAAGCGGCTCTGGCTGGGGTTCGGTGGGGAATCTCTTGGTGTTACAATGGGGGGGGTCAGGTGCATTCTGCACCCCTGGGGCGCCAACGGAAGGGGATCTGGTTCGACAGCAACCGATCGCCCCTTAACTTCCTACCAAGAAGTTCGAACCCCTGAGCGGAAGAAAAACCGACAAGCCCCTCCCACAGCTTCCCGAGGGGAAGGGAGTTTCTCCTGTCATCTCCGCGCTGGTGAAGGGCCGCGGGCGCGCACAATCGACGCCAAATGGGAGCCTTCTGGCATCTTCCCTGGCTCTTCTTCCCCGGTGGGGGTGGGGATGATTTGGGGCTCCCGTGTGGATCGTCAGCTCAGAGTGGAGCAGCCAGGCTGGGGATGGGAGGATGGGAGGAGGGGAGGAGGGGGGGATGGGAGGAGGGGGGGATGGGAGGAGGGGGGATGGGGGGGATGGAGGGATGGGATGATGGGGGGGATGGATGGGGCATGGGAGGATGGGGGGACGGGATGGGAGAATGGGGGGGATGGGGGGCAAGGGAGGATAGGAGGGGGGGATGGGCAGATAGGGAGATGGGGGATGGGAGGAAGAAAGGAGGGGGATGGGAGGATGGATGGGGGATGGAGGAATGAGAGGATGGGGGGATGGGGGAGATGGGAGAATGGGGGGTGGGGGATGGGGAGGATGGGATGGGGGGGGGAATGGAGGCCCGCGGGGGTCCGGGGGAGGCGCTCCGCTCCGCAGCGCCCCCAACGGCGAGGCGCGCCACCCCCCAGCCCCGGCGCTTTTGTTGTGAGACAGGAACACATAAGCGGCGCGCCCGGGGTCCCCGGCCCGGCCCGAGCCCCTGGGCCCCCCGAGCCCCGCCCCCCCACCCAGCCCCGGCCCCCCCCCCAGCCCCCCGAGCCCCGGCCCCCACCGAGCCCCGGCCCCGAGCCCCGGCCCCCCCCAGCCCCGGCCCCCCGGCCCCGGCCCCCCGAGCCCCGCCCCCCCGAGCCCCGGCCCCCCCAACCCCCCGGCCCCGGCCCCCCAGCCCCGGCCCCCCCCAGCCCCGGCCCCCCGCAGCCCCGGCCCCCCGCAGCCCCGGCCCCCCGCAGCCCCGGCCCCCCGCAGCCCCGGCCCCCCGGCCCCGGCCCCGGCCCCCCAGGCCCCCCCCAGCCCCGGCCCCCAGCCCCGGCCCCCCCCAGCCCCGGCCCCCCCGCAGCCCCGGCCCCCCCCAGCCCCCGGCCCCCCCCAGCCCCGGCCCCCCGCAGCCCCGGCCCCGGCCCCCAGCCCCCCCCAGCCCCGGCCCCCAGCCCCGGCCCCCCCCAGCCCCGGCCCCCCCGAGCCCCGGCCCCCCCCAGCCCCGGCCCCCCCAGCCCCGGCCCCCCGCAGCCCCGGCCCCCAGCCCCGGCCCCGGCCCCAGCCCCCCCCAGCCCCGGCCCCCAGCCCCGACCCCCCCCAGCCCCCGGCCCCCCCCCGGCCCCCCCCAGCCCCCGGCCCCCCAGCCCCGACCCCCCCCCAGCCCCGGCCCCCCCCGGCCCCCCCCAGCCCCGGCCCCCCCCGGCCCCCCCCAGCCCCGGCCCCCCCCCAGCCCCGGCCCCCCCGAGCCCCGGCCCCGAGCCCCGGCACCTTCGTGTCCACGTCGGCCAGGCAGTCCCGGCGGAAGCTGTCGAAGAGGCCGCGGCTCTTGAGCTGCTCCACGATGAGCGCGATGAGCTGCGGGTCCCCGGGGGGCAGCGCGGCCGGGTTGAGCGCGCCGCCGCCGCCGCCGCCCGCGCCCGGGCCCTTGGCGCCCGCCGCCGGCCCCGCCGAGGCCGGGCCCGGGCCCACGCCGCCCGCCGCGCCCGCCGCGCCGCCGCCGCCGCCGCCCTCCGCCATGCCCGCCGCCCGGGCCCGCGACACAGCCCCGGCGCGACTTCCTCTCCGGCAGCGAGGGCCCCGCGGGAGCGGCGGCGGCGGCGGGCGGCGGCGGCGGCGGGGGAAGGGGCAGGGCAGGCGGCCCGGGCGGTAGGAAACGCCCGCTCGGTGTCGGGCGCGCCGCTGATGGCGTCATCGGTTGCCTTTGCATTGTGGGAAAGCCGGTTTCTCGCCCCATCTCCAAGCGTTGTTTATAAGCCGAGGACCGGTGCATGAAAAACTACAACTCCCGGCAGGCATCGAACTTACTCGCCCGGGTTTCGCCAGGCATCCTGGGGATTGTAGGCGCAGACCTTCGTGCCGGCGGCCGCCTGCCTCGCGAGGCATCCTGGGAATTGTAGGCGCAGGCCTTGCCTAGAGCCTGCAGCGCGGCTCGCGAGGCATTCTGGGAGTTGTAGGCGCAGGCCTTCCTGGAAGTTGGCAAAGACAAGCCCTCTGCGCCTGCAAGCTCCCCACAGAGCGAGATTATAAGAATCACCTGCAGAGCTGATTAGACGCATGGGTCTTGATTCAGGCTGGATGCTATCATTCTAGCTACTCAGGAGGCTGAGAGCTGAGTATTGTGGTTAAAGCTAACCACCAAAAAGCCAGAAGTGTACCTACAATTAGCATTGAGCAAAATAAAAAGGACAGCGTCCAAGCCCTGAGTTCAAGTCCCAGGACTGGAACAATACACACACAAAAGACTGTAACTCAGTATTTCTTTGAGTCGATGCCTGAGAATCTGCCTATTTGACATGCATGCCCCACCCTCCTTGAACTACGCAATCTGGAAAAAATTGGGGGAACTGATGCTTCTATTCACCATGGTGTGTCCACCTTTCTGATTCATAGCAATACAGACCAATTTTCAAAAAAGCAGAAAAGTGCGAGGAAGACAATAAAAGTTGTTAGCGCCTGCTCACACCTGTAATCCTAGCTCTTCAGGGGGCTGAGATCTGAGGATTATGGTTCGAAGCCAGCCTGGGTAGGAAAGTCTGTGAGACTCTTACCTCAAATAAACTACTCAGAAAAAGCTGTACGTGGTGCTGTGGCTCAAGTGGTAAAGTGCTAGCCTTGAGCACAGAGGCTCAAGGACCGAGGCCAGGCCCTGAGTTCAGTCCCCAGGACTTGCAAGGCGGAGGGGAAAAAAGTTTGTCTTTAGGTCTCATGCATGATTCTCACAAATGCAAAATATTGCCCAAATCACTACTAATAACTGATCTGCTTATCACAGAACTCTTGTGTTCCGGTGGCTAGGATTCTGAGATGTTTTTTGGACCTGTAACCTTAACGCTGGAATTGACAGGAATGGGATGTTCTAGTGGGCGGAATGAGGGACAAAAGGGAGCAAGACTAGGGGAGGTCTAGTCTTAATCTAAGCTTTGTGGTAGTGGATTCACGTTACACCTCCAAGGGGTGGCATGTAATACACAAACATGGGCAGCAGGTGGCGCAATTGCTGTATGAATGATCCTGAGCACTGGAAAAGGTGCATTGTGTGTGTGTGTGTGTGTGTGTGTGTGTGTGTGTGTGTGTGTGTGCGTGTGTGTGTGTGCGTGTACTCTCATTTGGCTTTTTGCTCTAAGCTGATGCTCTACCACTTGAGCCATACCTCTATGTCTGGCTTTTTGCTGGCTCACTGGAGAATCTCTGGAACCTCGATCCCACTGATCTCAGTCTCCTGAGCAGCTAGGATTACCCAAGTGAGTCACCGGTGCCCGGTTAACTTGTTGGCTGTTGGCAGCTGTCCTGGTGCCAGTACTGCTGCCATTCATTCCAGGCGATTCTGGGCCATTTGTTCATTTCTAGATCAAGGCCCTTGCCCCATGGGGAGGCGCTGGAGGCAAGAAGACATCTGGAATATGCCAATGAGAACCCTGGAAGGCGATGCTGGGCCTGCCTGGCTCCTCACATTGCCCTCTCTGGTTACTCAGGATCCTGACAGATCTGAGGATGGCAGTTCAAAGCCAGCCCGGCCAGGGCAGTCCATGAGACTCTCACCTTCAATGAACCAGCAAAAAGTCAGAAGTAGAGCTGGTGGTTTGAGCGGTAGAGCACCAACCTTGAGCAAGAAAGCTCAGGGACAGCACTCAGGCACGTGAGTTCAAGTCCCAGGCCCGGCACACACACATGCACGCACGCACACACACACACACACACACACACACACACAATTCCCTTTCCCCTTTAAATCACCCAGAATGCACATTTCTGGTGGCTAAGAGTGGACAGGTGGATGTTCCAATCAGAGACCTTAGCATATCTGCAGGAGGCAGTGGGAGGCGGGACCGATGGGGGTGAGCCGGGCCCCGCCCATCCCCGTGGCCCCGCCCAGCGACCACGCCCCCAGTGGCCACGCCCATCCCCTTTGGCCAACCCTTCCCGTGACCACACCCTTTCCACACAGCCCGTGGCCACGCCCCTCTCCTGACCACGCCCCCACAGGGCCAGCCCTTTGACCACACCCCGTACGCACAGCCCCGTGGCCACGCCCTGACCACGCTCCCGTGGCCACGCCCCTCCTCCGTGGCCCCGCCCAGCGGCCCCCACCTATCCCTTTGGCCAACCCTTCCTGTGACCACGCCTTTCCACACAGGCCCCCGTGGTCACGCCCCCTCTCCTGACCACGCCCCCTTAGGGCCAGCCCTTTGACCACACCCCCTGCGCAAGCTCTTCCAGTGGCCACGCCCTGACCACACCCCTCCCCGTGGCCGCGCCCCTCCCCGTGGCCACGCCCCTCCCCATGGCCTCTCTGGCAGCCAGGCCTGCGGGCCTCAGCCTAGGGGTCCTGTGCAAATGGACGCCGCCTTCAGGCGGGGAAATCTCACTTTCCCCGACTATAAAATGCTTCAACGTAGGTTTCTCCTGTCTCCCCCGCAGTAGCCCCCCCTGTCTCTGAGAGGGGACACATTCGAAGCCCCCTGCTCCCCCCATGGCTGTCCGGAAGCCCAGCTGGGATGGACTTGTACAGTGTGGCTTCAGTGTTGTCCTGGGGCTTGAACTCTGGGCCTGGACGCCGTCCCTCAGCTCTTCAGCTCAAGGCTGGCGCTCTACCACTTGAGCCACAGCGCCACCTCCGGTTTGCTGGTGGTTCATGGGAGATCAGAGTCTCACGGACTTTCCTGCCCAGGGCTGGCTTTGAACCTCGATCCTCAGATCTCAGCCTCCTGAGTAGCTGGGATGACAGGCGTGAGCCACTGGCGCCTGGTTCTTCTCTCTCTCTCCTTTTGAGCTGGGCAAAGCTATGAGTGTTTTAACTCTTTCATTGCGTGGGCTCAGAGAGGGTGAGCCACGGGCCTGCAGTCACACAGCAGATGGAGGGGTGCATTGCCAGGGGGAGGGGGGGAAAGGGGGGGAGCTGTGGATGGCCATCTTTCCACCTCATCCTCAGGGCATGACTTGAGGGTGGATTGCAGTAGAACCCACGTTTGGACTAAAAATAGGCCCTCTCCCTCATCAACGCCCCCTACTTTACAACCCCCGGTGCCCCCCCCCCCTCTGACCCCTGGCCATCGCGATCCCTTTATCCAGGAAGAGTAAGGAGGTGCCCGTTCCCAGCTGCTCCCCAGATTGGCGGAGGGTGGGGGGAGATGGGCCAGAGATCACTGAGTGATAAAAGGGTTCCTGGTGGGAGGGAGGAGGGAAGAGGGGAAAGGAGGAGGAGGGAGAGGAGGAAGAAAAGGGAAGGGAGGAGGAAGGGGGAGGAGGGAGAAGAGGAAGAAGAGTAGGAGAAGGAGGAGGGAGGAGAAGGAGGAGGGAGGGGAGGAGGGAGAAGAGGAAGAGGAGGGAGAGGAGGAGGAAGGAGAGCGGGAGGAGGAGGAGGGAGGAGAGTAGGACAGGGAGGAGGGGAAAGGAGAGGAAGGAAGAGGGGAGGAGGAGGAGGAAGAGGTAATAAAAATTGTATTACTGAACATGTCTGAAATCCGGGTGCTCCTGAGATTTCTGGAGGATGAGTCTGATCCTTTCTGGTTTTTCTTTTGTATTAATGAGTTGCTAATTTACAAAACCTGTGGCCTATGAACTGGGCGCCCGTGGCTCCCGCCTGTCCTCCTGGCTACTCAGGAGGCTGAGATCTGAGGATGGTGGTTTGAAGCCAGCCCGAGGCAGAAAAGTTCATGAGACTCTAATGTCTGACCCATTCAGCAGCCAAAGAGCCAGAAGTGGGGCTTGAATCAAGTGGTAGAGCGCCAGCCTTGAGTGAAAAAGTTCAGGGACAGCACCCAGGCCCTGAGTTTAAGCCCCATGGACAATACAGAGAGAGAGAGAGGGGGGGGGGGGAGGGAAAGAGGGAGGGAGAGGGAGGGAGGGAGGGAGTAATTCCCTTACTCCCCAGTAGAGGACAAAATAGGTAACTGTTCACCTAAAACAGTGTACTTGGAGCCAGGCAAGGGTGGGCATTCATATAATCCCAGCTACTCAGGAAGCTGAAACTGGAGGATCACGGTTCAAATCCAGCCCAGGCAGGGCAGGGTGTTTACCCCCCCCCCCCCCCGCCCTCCCCTCACCCAGCCAAGTCACAGAACCCATGACAAAAGGGACTCCACCCCTCCTCCCCCAAAACCCTGCCATGCTACGAGGAAATCAGGCAGCAAGGAAACAGAGAACCCTGCTGGGTGTGGTCACGAGGTCACCTCAGGGGTACCCACCCCGGGGACCCCCCAGCGCCCATCTGACAGGGAGATGACCCAGCCCACATGGCACCTGTCTTCTGCTATAGATAGATGGTATTGGGGTTTTTTAATTGTTTGTTTTGGGGGCCAGTCCTGGGCCTTAGAACCCAGGACCTGGGTGCTGCCCCCTGACCTTTTTCCCTTCCAGGCTGGCGCTCTACCCACTTGAGCACAGCTCCACTTCAGCTTTGTGGTGATTCCTTGGAGACCGAAAATCTCATGGACTTTCCCTGAGTTGGCCTTGAGCCCCGATCCTCCCATCGCAGCCTCCTGAGTAGCCAGGATGACAGGCGTGAGCCACCAAGTGTGGGGGCCAGTCCTCGATGATGATGATGATGATGATGATGATGATTGCACAGGCATCCTAGAAACAAGTTTAGAGCGTT